CAATTTACATGGCATTTATAATTTCTCATTTTAATAAGAATTTGTAGGGATTTCACAAGAAGAAAGGCCTTTAATTAAATGCTTATAGGGAAGAGAATACAGTGCCATGAGGTTTTTATATTTAATTTCATTTGTTAATTTATAATAATTCGTAATCTGATTTACAACCATCACAGTTATTCATTAAAATAAATCCAATGATTCCCATCTTGGAACCCATTTCCATTACATACTTCATTTGAATCGATGCCTTTCCAGAATTTATTCGAAGCATTTGCATGCATAATGACCAATTAATAGCTGCCGAGTGGGACAGGACAGGACATCTTGAGCACGTTCGACAACCTTTCCCTGCCCGATTGCAATGTTACCCTAATGAACTCTGCTCTTCGAGAGCCTGTGCCTGAGGAGGGATGGAAAGAAAAATCAGCAACTTAATGTTGCATTTTATCGCCAAGACGCGCTGCTCCGTTCACCTTATCGCCGGCGAGGCAGATGAGGCCAGAGGGTTCCAGGACTATCTGCCTTCCTTGCCTGCCTGGTGGTGGGAAATAGGAACGAATTCGGCAGCATGTTTGTATAAATTTTTTATAGGTAATACACTTAAGGAAACGACACTTAGAGTCATCATTACAAGCGCTTCGGCTGCAATAACAGGCCATCTTGCACATAGTTTTCGCAATTTACTTGATCCCCGGCGTGCGGCCCAGAAGGGATTGGCAGTTCGACCTGGAACTGGATTCCGGAGGGGTTCGTGTTGGCCACTGGGACTTGGTAACGGCTCCTGGCAACTGCTGGCCTCAAGTGCCAGCCGTGGCAGTCGATTAGCAATATTTAGGCAAACTTCAGACCCCGCAGCCGATGGCATTTTCATCATTCGCTATTGGCCATAAAGGACACCGGTGGCAGGTTACGAGCTCCTGCCAAAATATAGCCAACTTTTAATCTTCAGGGGCTTGGAAATATAGCAAAATTATAGATCATATACCTCAAAGTATATTAAATCGACAAAGTAATGGTATAAGATATATTACAATAAATTATTGCTTATAAAGGAAGCTCTAGTTATTATATATTTATAGTTACTTCTACTCTAATTACAGGGATAAAACCTATATTATTTTTTTCTAACTCTGTAAGTCTAAATATACCATTATCAGGACATAAAATGTTGTCCTAGACAACCCTTAAAGAACCTGGGGAAATGCCCGCCTCAGCCAGACAGAGAAATTTACCCCCTTACGCCCCGATGATTGCGAATCGCTTCTAATAATGCAATTGATTCTTGATTTGCACTCTCCATTTTCTCAATAATGCCCGCCGGAAAAACCGGGGAAAAGGCGATGGAAAAATCGCCCAAGTCGCGAGGGCAACGTGCGCATTCCATAAATCGCCGCTTCATTTTCGCTACATTAAACGTCAAAATATGAACCCATTTGTGAAACATTTTTGCTGCTGCCCAGAATGGCACTAGCCCATTATAACTACAACAACAAGGGCGACGGCACCAAAAACGTAGGAATCCTGGCGGACCCAACAATATTACGGCAATAACGAGAGACGGACAAAAGGAAAAACTACATGACGACGGGCACGGGGAAGGAGATTGAACTGGCCAAAGGATATGCCATAGGAAATGGTCGACTGCAGAGTGTCCTTAACTTTAAATGTTTAATCGTACTCTCCGTTATTTTCTACAGCTAAATATTAAACCTAGTTTTAAAGTCATTCTTTGGCCATACTTTGTACGGCTTTTAATTTTTTGTTAACAATTTTGTGAATTTGCTTTTAAAGAGAAGAAGAAGAAAGAGAAGCTAACATCGAAGAGTTCAAGTTTGTGTATCCCTTGCAATTAAAAAGTCTGAAACGCAGTGAAGGAATCATTTCCGACCCCATAAATCATATATATTCTTGATCAGCATCCAAAATCGAATCAATTTAGCTATGTTTGAACAAAAAATAAATGTTTGAAAATTTTTCAAAATTTGAAAATTTTATAAGTTACATCATTAAAATTGTAAAAAATTGGCAAATTTCTTAATATTTTAAAATAAAAAACGCAGAATGCAGATTAATAATCCTTATAAAAACTAACATAGGAGCGATTTCTGAATTGAATTTAATGCATTTTTGGTTGAGTTATGGGTTTTTCAAACTTCGATTTCTCAAAAATTGTCATATAAAAAAAACGTTGATAAATAATGATTCCAAAAATGCGAATATTTTAAGCTTAGGTATGGTCGATTTCCTATTTAATCCTATAATTCAATTTAAAACTACAAGGGTATACTAAGACGATTTCCCCACAATATTAATACTTCAAATTTCCTTAAAATTGCTTAAAGTTGGGAAAGACTTGGAAAAATAATAACTTGTGATTGGAGATGACATGGCGAGCTGTGCTTCGAGCAATTTCATCTTCTTATTCATGAATTTCCGGCGGAACGAGTCCGCCGAGTGCTATTCCCGCCGTTGTCCTCGTCCTCCTTCCAAGAGAAAAGGAACAGGAGGGGCGGTTCCGGATACGGAATCGAAATCGAGTCGATGAGATGCGCACGTTTCTGGAAAAAAAAAATAAGAAAAACAACAATGGAACTCATATGAACCGTGCAGCATGACAGTACTGTTCCCAGTCTCCGGTCTCCGGTCTCCGGGGGCTTTGACTCCCGCTGCAATTACGAGTATTTTTTAACTGCTTATTGCGTTTTCGTCCTCCCGATCCGAACCCACTTCCTGCCTTTCCCCCCAGCAACAAGCAAACAAGGACTCGCAACTGAATTTCATTCGATTTCAATGCGAAAGGGGATCTCGAGTGCTCGCCAATAAAAATTAACGATACACGCATACACAGTTCACAAAATGTCGGGCCAAAGTATCTTCTGTTTTCCTGTTTTCCTTATACATATATATATTTTGTATTTTTTTATTTTGTGGGTGGTGAAATTTCAATTTCGTTTGAAACAGAATTGCGTTGCCAAGATGTTTCCTCACATGGACATATTTAAGGGGGTTTTCCTCAAAATTTTAAAGAACATGTTTTGGTTAGAAACTTTGTAGAAGAAAAGCTTAATTTTAAAGATTTTTTACAGAACTTTTCGGGAAGAGATATAATATTTTCACTCTATAAATATTTACTATATTATATTAACTTAATCATTATCTTAGCTTGCAGCTTTCGTGTGATATGTAATTTTAGTTTTCCTTTAAAGTTAGGTTAACATAATTCTGATATTAATAAGTAATTATATTTAATGATAATAGCTCATCAAACTAAAACATAATGACCCAGTAAAAACCATATTCTCATTACTTTCTCAGCAATCTCTATGTTCTGAGCTCTCTATGTGGTATTTCATCTACCAAAAACCATATAAGCATTCCCTTTATAACGATACAACCTTCCATCCGCAATCACAACATCATTAAAATCGCTGCTCCACTTTTCTCAATTAACCGCCACAAGCATCGTAATTTTGTGACTAAAATCTAATTTAGTTCGATGGGATATGTTGCCATAAGGAAAACGGAAGATGCCTTTCCCCGAAATATCACAATATATTTATTTTTTTGCACAGCACAAGGAGGTTGTTGCCGTATTCCTAAGGTCATAACAATATTTTCACGTTTTTCCCAAGTCCGGAATGAGTTTTTGAAATTTATTTGGGGCTCTGAGGAGGGAGGAAGGGAGAAGACCCCCGAAACCGATCTGAAAAACAGCCTTGGAGGAAGGGCAACCAACAGGCGAGTGCCATTATTTTGATACTCAAGGCTATTAACGTTAATTTTCGTTAGTTACGTAATACCTTACGCCCACACCCAAGCACACACACACACACACACAGAGAGAGATATCCTTATATATATCGAGTTCCATTACGGAAATTCCCATTCCATCTTTGAGTTTTTCTCGGGGGTAAAACAAGCATCCGCCATGCGTGTTCCCTGTGTGTGTATACATATATGTATATTCTTAACCCCACAAACGCCCAAACTGAACATTTTCCAACTCTCATACCCCCTCCCTCCCCCGGGGCACCTGCTCCAGCGCTTTTCCTGCCATTTTCCCGGGTGTCTCAGTTCGTCCGGAGGCCGCTGGCATTAAGGAGATTTACGAGTACATGATTTTGCATGTTCGGTGCCCCCGATGCCATTTAGATTCGCTTAGGTACATTTTCATCCTTGCACCCACACACACATGCTACGTGTGTGTATTTGCGTACGCATTTAATGGCCCATTAGTGCTATCAAATACGCATAAATATCTGCACTTTGCCAGGAGTAGTACACACACCAGGACACCAGGACATCAGGACAGACCCCCATCACCCGGACAGAGATACCCGTACGATTTCAAAATACGACGACTCCGGATGCGGGAATCCACACACACACACATGTGCATATCCTCCGGTTGGCGGCAAACAAATATTTGCAGATCCCAGTTTATTGCCGACTTAGTTGGGGGCGGTTCGGGGTATTTGGAAATGCAATATTGTAAATCGCCCGCCCACAACAACCCCTCTTCTTTCCCCTTTCAGCACTCTGGCCATTTTTGCTGGGAGAAGCATAATGAGTTGTATAATTACTTGTCCTACTCAGTCCGGTCGGATAAATAGGGAGGACTATTGAGCATACTCTTCCTTATAGTTTTGGAAGTGAAGATCTTTTGCTATTCAATGGAAATTATAATCCTACTTATTCATAGTCTTACTTATCTGCCATAAAAATAAAAGCTACTAAAGAACAGGTTAAAATAGCATCAGCTTAGAGTATTTGAGTTTTATATGCAACAAGAGATCATAATCTTTTTGAAACCAGGAAAGTAGTTTATTTTAGTTCACAATTATTAATTTAATCTACTCTAACCCCGAACCTCTTAAATTGAATATGAAATAAAAAATACTTTGTTCATATTTGCGCTCTTTAAATGATTATTTATTCACCTATGTTCTTAATTGCTAAGATTTCATTACAAATAGTATAATTTTCTATACTACAAAATACCAATAACATAGTAGACCGAAAATGAATTTATAAATTTACAAAGTAACAAAAATACACATAAATTGGGTAGAAAAACCAATTTTTGGCTCCTTGGTCAAAACGTAACCGCTGTTGATGTTTGGTCTTTGGCCAAAATCGCGGCCGGTGGAGGAGGCTCAACCTGAGCAGCCCGGGACCTCCAAATCTGCGAAGCAGGCCGTTAAAGTGGAAAATAAACCACCTGAAACACCGAATGCTGAGGGTTCCAGATCCGCATGGAAATTGAAAACATCAGCTGAAACTCCTGACCCAGAGGAAGAGTATTCAATGTATCGCGTAAACAATGCAGGCCTGTACAAGGCCACTTTCTTCAGCAACATTGGATCCTTTCTCTTCGGGATCGCCATGGGCTGGTCGGCCGGGGCAGAGCAGTCGGTGATGCATAAACGCTCGTATGGATACACGCCCTCGGGGCTGGAATGGAACTATGTCTGCATACTGCTCACTCTGGGAGCGATGTTCTGGTGTCTGCCCACAGGATTCCTCCTGCGGTGGTGCGGCTGCAAGCGAACGATCCTGGCGCAGCTGCTCCCCAACACCCTGGGCTGGTGTCTTACCGCCTGGGGACAGGATATCAATATGTTGTACGCCGGCCGCTTCATCCTGGGAATGTGCGGAGGAGCCCACTGCGTGGCTGTGCCAATCTACAGCGCCGAGATCAGTTCCGTAAGGAAGCGCGGCATCATGGGCGTATGCTTCTACGGAGCCTGCATTGTCGGCGTCTTCTATAGCTTTCTGATAAGCAGCTTCCTGGAAATTAGGAAAGTTAACTTGATCAATCTAATCCTGGTGCTACTCGGGCTGTTGCAGTTCCTGATGCCGGAGACACCGGCCTATTACGTGAAGCGGAGGAAGTTGGATCGCGCAGAGAACAGCCTTCGGTTGCTGCGTGGCAAGCACTATAATGTAAATAATGAGATGGCCCGCCTGACGAGGGATCCCACGATGAGCGAGCACGACCAGCACCAGCATCCGCGGCAAGGCTTCAAGTACCAAGAGGTGAGGAGAAGCCTGGCTCGGGTTTTGGTGCTGGCCGTGTTCCATAAGCTTTGCGGCTCCTACGTTTTCATATTTTACAGCTACGAGCTGGTACGCTGCCTGACACTGCCGCATCCTTTGGCGGCAGGACTGGGCGTGCCGGCTCTCGTGGGGTTCCTGGTCTGCATGTGTCTCGTGGAGAGAATGGGACGAAAACACCTGCTCATTGTCTGCTCGGCCATAATGTTCTTTGCCACCGTTGTCATAGGGATTGGCTTTAAATTGTTTCTGGAAAATGGCGGAGATATCCTGCCCTGGGTTACGTTTATCTGCATGCCGGTGTTTGTGGGCGCCTATACGGCCGGACTTGGGACGCTCACCTGGCTGCTCACCGTGGAGCTGCTGGTGCCACCCATGCGTCCCCTGGGCTGCTCCATTGCCGCCACGGTTAACTGGCTGTGCGCCTCCCTGGCCATCTTCTGGTACTCCAGCCTCAAGCTCGTCTGTCAGCCATATCTCTTCCTGGTCTTCGCCATCATTGCTGTGATCACACTGCTCTTCTCGCTGGCCTTCATTCCGGAGACCAGAGGTATGTCCTCAAGAAAGATCCAGCATCGATTGGGCAAGCAAAAGGTAATCACCAACATTTCCAGCAGCGAAGAGTCAGACGCCGAAATTGTATAGTTTATGTATCTCAATATATATATATAATATATATAATATAGATTTTTAGAGTACAACAAGAAAGGAAACTAACTTCGGCACGCCGATGTTTATATACCCTTGCAGATAGGACTTCGATCACTAGGAATTAATACAATATAAAATATATATATTTATGTTAAAAACAGTGAAATAATGCCTGCTTTCATTAAATTTCCCTACAGTTTTACATTCACAATTTTGCATTTTCATCTATATCTAACGATCCTGTGTATGGCAGCTATATAATATAGTCGTCCGATTTTCATAAAACTAAAAGCAAAATTCTAGAATAATAAAAAAAGGTCTATATCTCAAATTTGTTGAAATCTGTTGAAAACTGTAAAAGTCATAATTTTTGATTGTATTAATTTCTCGATCGTTTCTATGGCAGCTATATTATTTAGTAGTCCGATATTCATAAAATTTTACACAAAGATGTGGAATAATATAAATTGGCTACATATCAAATTTGACAAAATTCTCTTGAAAACTGAAAATGTTATAATTTATTTTGTTAAAATTTTCCGATTGTTCCTATGGCAGCTATATGTTAAAGTCGTCCGATCCGGCCCGTTCCGACATATATGCAAGTGAGATTATAAAGAAGACTAACTACAAAAATTCATTGAGATAGCTTCAAAACTGAGAGACTAGTTAATATAGATCTAGCTCGACTCTGTGCTGATCAAGAATATATATGTAATCTTTATATGACTCCTTCACCGCGTTGCAAACTTTTGACTGAAATAATAATACCCTGTAAGTGTAAAAAAATGGGTATCATTTTAACCACAGTGCCTGCAACAGGCAAGCTACTTTTGCTTATTAAACGCTCTTATTTATGCTGCCTCTGTGGCGACATTTTGTGTGTGTATTTGCGAACATTTTCTTATTCGCGTAATTAAAAGTTATGTTTTACACTGTAAATTCATTGGCGATGCTGGCACATTTATGAATTTATGCGTTGTGTGCGTCCAAGTCTGCGAAAGTTGTTCCCCACTCGAATGGGTATAAATATTAATTTGCATTTTGTCACATGATTTAGACGGCCATTAAGTCCAATTAATGAGGCACTGCAACTGCGGGTCTCATTGAGATAAATGCCCAAGAACGGACCGACTTGAATTCTGGAGTACGAAGTTAGTTACTTTGTACGATTCCCAGACGATCATCTCGATGTATCTATCCGCAATTAATTCAATTAATTCACCTGACCGCCAGAAGATACGTACAGATACGTGTTCACCTTCCCACGAGCTCTGCATGCAAATCGGGGTTGACATTTTGCGGCAAATATACGAGGCACCATAAAAATAGTTTACGACTTTTAATTACGGACGCAGCGTGCGGTCCCCAGAAGCCCCAGAGTCGGTTGGAAAAAATAAATATATATAATGGCTGAGCCTTCTGCCTTTTGTCTTTCCTTGGCCGCTTCTTCCTGGCTTATTTATTGGGGTTTTAAGCCACCATTTTGGTGGCTTCGTCGGCCTTTGTAATTCCCCTGAATTATATCTCAATTCATTCCCCGGCCATAAATTTGATAAATTTCTCATTTCGCTTACCTGACCCGCTGGGATCTCGGATCGAGATCTCCGGATCGGATCGCTGGATCGTAAATAAATGGAGGACTCCACTCCGTTTGCAGGCTGATTAAAATGTTCATTCCAGGTTAGGTTTCTCTGCCCGACCGACCATTCATTATGCATCTCACAACGGAAATTTAAATGTATAATTTCTTAAAGTGAAATGGAAAATTAATTATTCGAACAAAGGCCGTTCAAAGTGAATCGTAATGAGTTGCATTCGCTAATTGAAATGACATTCAAGTTTTTATTATCGGCGATGAGTCAAAGCTTAAATAATTATTGAGTTGTTTTTAAGGAACATGCATATTTATTTGACAAGGAATTACTTCTAAATGTTGAATCACTAAGCAAGCCTTTAAAGATTCCTATCAATTTTATATTTTAAGTTGCTACCAAGTACATTTATTGTACAAGTGAAAGTCCTCTTTATAACAACTAAAACTTGTAACATTTTCCAAATTGAAATGAGCCAAACAATGATCCTTTATCAGCCCCATTTAATGCCCTCTGATGGTCCGCATTGGCTCTGCACATTCAAGTGCTCATATGCGAATGTATAAATCCGCATCTGATAAACCTTGAAATACACTCAATTTGTGTGTGAACCGACTTCATTTCGCTTCGAAAAAATATATAAAAAATAAAAGCTTATAAGGAGCTGGCTGGGAAGCGCATGTGCATAACCGCCCATTTGCGTGGGCGCGTCGAGTTCTCCTTGGCCAAGCTCCTTGGCAGAGCTCCTTGGCGGAGGACTGCTCTCCTCTTTGCTCCTTTTGGCGGTGAAAAAGGATAGCGAGATGGCCGAAACGCTGTCCTCGCCAAACGAAGGTGAAACTGGTGGCCACGAGCGCAGCTCCATGAGCTTCAAGTCGTCGTATTGATTTTAGTGGCGCATTTACGCGCGATTATCGTTTAGTCGGCGATGCCCGAAGTATTACGAGAATTGTTATGGCCACCGAAATGGCTCCAAACGATGCTCCCAGCAATTGCCAGGAACGAGACCAAGACCGAAACCGAGACGAAGTCGTCATCCTCATCGCTTGGCATCGGCTTTGAGAGCTGGAGAGTCAGACAGCCACTGCCGGCGGGTTGGTTTTCTTGGCCAGAAATCTGGGCAGGAGAAGGCAAAGAATGGCTTGGGGAAAAAAATGGGAAAATCTCCAGGCAACTTTCTTTTGTTCCAAGTTTGCCGGCGGGCAATTTGTAATTTCTGTGAAAACCACAAGACTTTTAATTAAACGGAAACCTCTAATTCCCTATGACAATTTCAGATGATAGTTAAAGCATTATATTTTTAGAATTTACCTAACCAGTGCAAGTAATATATTTAAGAATAATAAATATCAAGGAAATCATTTGATAACTAATGAAATATGGAATAAAATATAGGATTTACATAAAATGTTATCAATTTTTATAGCCTTCTATCATACCTCAATAATTGTATTCAGAGCTATAAAACTCAGTGAAGAAATCATTTCCGACCCCATAAATCATATATATTCTTGATCGGAATCAAAAATCTAATTGATCTAGGCATGTTTGGTTGAAAAAAATTTTTTGAAAATTTTTCGAAATTTGAAAATTTCATAAGGGGTTACATCATTAAAATTCGCAAAAATTGGCAAAATTTTAAAAATCCTAAAATTTAAAACTGAGTATGCGGATTTATTATCCTAATAAATCCTAATATAGGAGCGATTTCCGAATTGAATGTAATCCATTTTTGGCTGAGTTATGAGGTTTTTAAGGTATGAGTTTTTTAAATAAATGCCACATAAAAATATTAATAAATTTCAGTATCAATCAATTTTCTACACGATCCCATTACTCAATTGCAAACCGCAATGGTATATAAACTTCGGCTGCTCAAACTTGGGTTCCTTTCTTGATATTTGAAAGTTATTTTTACATAAATGTTGGAATATTTAGAAGGAAAGAAATGCATTATTTCTTAAGTTATGTATACGTTAGTATGTTAATTGTATACGATTTTTTCAAATGTTTAAATAAATTAATTTCTAAGACGTATTACTTCAAGATTATTATATCAATATCGAATGAAATGCTATGAAATAATACTCAATAAAAGAAATATTAAATTTTTTGTATTGAAAATGTGAAATGTAAAATATTAATTATTTCCATTAAATATTTCAGATCAAATAAAATCTTCGTTTCACAGGTCTCGTTCTCAGCTTGATACAAACCAAAAACGAAGTTTTTCCCCAACCTCAAATCGATCGAACCGAAGAATATGGAAAGCTGAAGAAAAGCGACCCTGGGGAAAAAGGGAAAACACTGGCAAGGCGAAAGGATGCATGAAAATTGCTTTCATATTTCAGGTGATAATGGTTTCCTTATGTGAATTTACAAAACATTAAAGCTTCTGCTGCCGCTGCTGTTTGCTGTTGTTGTTGCTGTGTACGGGGTATACATAATTTGGCCAAAAAGCAATTCACGTTAATGGCGCAAAATCCCAAAAGGATAAGGCGGCGAAAAAAGTGTTTCCCCCTCGCAGTTCTCCTCCTGTTTTCGCCGCTGCCAGCGAACGGAAATGGCGAAAGGACATCCGAAGATACGAGCACGATACGCGATTCGAGGGGGGCGGGATTTTGGATTTGGGATTCGGATCTCGGTTTCGGGGGTGGAGGTGAGGACGAGGGCGAGGGGGACATCCTCCTGGCCCCCATGTTTCACCCAATCCCCCGTCAGGACGACGCCACCGCTTCGTTGTTTATTGTAATGGGCGTTGTACCGGCGCCGCAGGACGAAGGATCCGTCCCCATCCGGCTTTTTGGGGAGCTGTGCTCCCTGCCAAGGATATACGAGGTCATAAACGAGATTAAGAACGCTGCTGCCAAGCGAACAAAAAAGGAGCACACAAAAAACGGCAAGCAAGTGGAACCGGGCCAGGTACTTGGTCCTTGGTCCTTGGTCCTGCTCCCACTCCTTGCTCGGATTCGATTTTCTCGTATTGGTCTTGTGGGAAATGCCCGAGTACAATTTCCAAGCATCTTTTTACATTCCACTCGCTCTGTCTTAGGTTATTTTTCTCTGCAGGACTTGTCTTTAACCTTCGCGCCAGGACCTAGCTGCATCGCTTACCTGTTTGGTTTTTTTGCACCATTCCAAGTGCAAATAATAACCGTGAAATATGAAATCTGCAAAGTGCTTTGTGTTTCTCTTCTTTTTTTATGTTCTTGGCAATTAACCTTGGTCGCATTTTTACTGGCCGCATCCGTTGCGGTGGGTTAATAAGTGCAAAAAATGAGCACAATTCCAGGGATAACTAGATGTAACATTGAATCATCGTCCTTGGCCACATGCTCACTCTAGGGTTTATTTGCAAAATTATACCATACAAGTTCTGCTTTCTGCAGGACTAAAATAGAAAAAAACACCTTGGGAAACTATATCTAACCATCAAGGATTAGCAAATGATCTTTATTTGTTCTGAACTAAAATTGTATTTATTATTTTAAAGATATATTTACCAACTTAAACTTTTACTGGACATTATATATTATATCCTTAATAGCAACATTTTTTAGATAAAAAAAGAGACCCCAAAGCCAGACACAATTAAAATTAAGTGTTTTTGTGTTCCAATTTTCCTTTTAAATTTTCTCTTACAAAAAATACATTTAATATCAAATTAAACTTAAGAGATTATCCGAATCCTGGTTACCTGTTCAGCAAACCGCCTCTTAATGACATCCTGCACGAACGACAACATCCTGTTGCATACGAAATGCCGCGGCGAGCTTAATCCTGCCATTCAAATGTTTATCTTTCAATATAGAGCGTCGTTAAACTAAAGGCGAAACGCTTTCTGAATTTCCAACGACTTAAAGACCAAACCGTAACAGCTGCAAAAAATTAAATGCAAATTAGAAAAACTCTCAAAAAATACAATCGCATTAGTCTCAGATGTGAGAAATGCGATATAGTAGGAATATATATACATATCCCCCTGGAAGCCGGCAGATAGGACAAGTGCGGTGTGGGGACAAAGTAATTTTTCTTGAGACTCCCCGGCAGAAAAAGCAATTTAGTAAGCTGCTGCTGGGCCGAGGTCGAACGGATGAACGGAGAGGTTGAGGATGAGGATGAGGGTAAGGACCATAGCCGCAGAAGAGCAAACCCAATTTCCTTCCCGGCCAAATGGAATCCGCCGGCTACGTGCGCCCCAAGAAGCGCGCGCGTCTTCCCAATAAATCTTCTTTACGAGCGCACACTCTGGCAACAATGGCCGTTCCGTTGCGTTCCACCCCCCTCCTGGAAAAACCACCCCATTCCAGCACAGCCCCCTGCTTTGCCCACGGAAAATGAACCTAAGCAAACTATCCGAATGGCATCTCAGACCCTAAGACGATGCGGCTCCCGAGGAGATGCACAGGGAGAAACTCAATAGGTGTAAGAGAAATATAATAAATAAATAAGAAATATATGTATATATTTAACAAGCTATCATTCTTAACATTTTATTTAAAATTGGATTTTTTGTTCACTAAAAGTAAATTTATAAAAGAAAACGCAAGTTATACCCTTGGAAGGTATAACCATTTTAGTAAGGAATCATATCCTGTGAAGGAGTCATTTCCGACCCTATTAATTATATATATTCTTGATCAGCATCAACAGGAGAATCGATTTAGCCATGTGCGGGAGAAAAATAAATTTTTGAAATTTTTTCAAAATTTAAAATTTTTATAAAATTTGCAAAATATTGAAAATTTAAAAATGATTATGCGTATTGAGTATTTATTAGCCTAATAAAAACTAATATAGGAGTGGTTTCTGAATTGAAATTAATGCATTTTTGGCTTAGTTATGAGGTTTTTAAGCTATGATTTGTTAAAAAAGTTGTCGTAGATTCAAGAATGCGAATATTTTAATGGATTTCCGATTCATACATTCATATATTAAAAGACACATTTAACATTTGCAAATAATAATTTAAATATTAGATATTAACAATATATTTGGACTATCTAAATAATGAATACCTTTTGAAGAAATAATAACTAATATTTATATAATGAAAAACAGTCTTCTGAAGTCAAAGGGAAATTAAATCCTGGTCTTAAGTTAACTTTGGTTTAAAAATAGGTTGTGTTAAAAATTTTCCCAATTCTCCATTCACTTTACCATTAACTTTTTTGAGTTTTCTTGGTTTCATAACATTTTTCTCCGTGTGGAAACAGTTGGCAGCCAAGAAATGCTGCAAAAAGCAAACAAACGGCCAGCAAGGCGTCTTCGGGGGTGAGTTTCCGTTTCGTTCGTGCGATGGCAGCCAGCCATCTTTGCCTCCTCCGCGGCCATCCTGCTGCCATCCTGCTGGCAACTCCTTGCTCTGGCACTCAGGAATTCCGCATAGCCACCCTCCTTGCAAGGACCTGGAGCTGCTGCTTCCGGCTGCTCCGACCGACTCCGAGTGCCTTCGAGTCGGTGGCAGCTGCCTCTGCCTCTGGATGCGAACGCACGAAATGGAAAAAAATGGCATTTAAGAAAAGCGAAACGAGAAAAATAAGGAGCTAAACGACTTTGGAAATTCCATTTGAGCAAACAACAGGCAGCTCCTCCCACTCACCCCCAACCGAAGGAGGGGAAGCGGGAGGCTTGGCTGGACCAATAAATGGAAACAAGTAGAACCATTTCCCAGCTTTAAGTTGGTTACTTACGTCCACTGCTTTATTGGCTTCGCTAGAGAATTTAACCCTAAGTAATGTCCTCTATGTTTCCCTATAAAGATCCTTTCCAAGGATCTCTGAGAACTCTTTACATTGTAGGAGAAGAATTTCATTTAAATACAAAAGGTTAAGGAAAGTATCTAGGAATTTAATAGATGGTCCTCCGAGTATCCAATAAATTTGCATATATGTATCTAGAATATGCAATGTGTACTACATACATATATATTGAAATATATAATATTGAAACGCCAACCATGTGTGTGCATTTGGATGCGGGGCAGGAGCAAAGCAGGAGCCGCAATAATGCAAATGGCAAGAGAGACCCCGAGCCATCGGCATCCGATCCAATATTTGCGGCAATAAATAAATTTAATGTACAAACTCCGGGCATGCAAGAGAATATTAAAAATGAAAATTATATTCTGCCCAGAAGCTGCTGCCAAGCACACATATTCATACCAATATGAGTATCTCTGCCACCCGACCACCGCCCACATGTGCGCACCGCATTTGCATAAATATAATTACGAAGCAGAATATTTAAAATTGCATACAGTTGGATGAAAAAAAAAAACATGAGTAAATTGAAATTATTATGCCGAAGCCCATTAAAATGCGCAAATAAAATGAGCCAAGATGATGCAAACCCAACTGACACCACATTAGAATCCCTAAAATAGAGCGAAGCTACTTTGTTAGCAAGTAAAAGTTAAAGTAAAGAGTTAAAATTAAAATTAAATTACTATGCGGATTGTTTATATATTGTAAGCTTTTATAATAATTTATTAATTTTGCAGTATCTATTTTATAATAAACTATGTTTAAACTCTATTTCCAGAGCTCAGATTCGAAATTTTACCCTTTAATTATACCCTTTCAGGCCGTTATAATTTTAATGAAAAGCAGTGAAGGAGTTGTTTCCGACCCTATATATCATATATATTCCTGATCAGAATCAACAGCCAAATCGATCTAGCTATGTCCGGGTGAAAAAAAAATTTTGAAATTTTTTCAAAATTTGGAAATTTTAAAAGGGGTTACATCATTAAAATTGTCAAATTTTGACAAAAAATAAAATATTTTAAATTTTAAAATTTAGTATGCAGATTTGTTAACCTTTTAAAAACTAGCACAGAATTGCGCTCCGATTTTAAATTAATGCATTTTTGGCTTAGTTATGATATTTAAAAACGTCTTGATTTACCCTAAAAATTAACATAAAAATGTAGTTTAATTTATTCCCAGGCTTCTCGATGTTAGCTTTTTTTTTCTAGATTTAAAAAAACATTCTATATTAATATTGAAAATAATAATAAACATTTGATGACTATATATTTATATCTTCTAAAATGGCTTAGGACTTCTACAAATATTAAAGACAGCGTAAGGATCCAAAGACCAAAAAAAGGCTTCCAAAAATGTGGAAAGCCAATCGAGTGGCTCCAAAAGGGATGCTGCATGCTTTGGATTCTCTTTCTTAGCAAAACCTGGAGCAGGAGCAGAAGGCATTCATATTTATGCCTGGCGAGAACATACATTGGATGCTGGCACATCAGCATCGATGGTACACACTCCGTACGTGTTAATATCCTTGAGTCGCACGCATCCTTCCCTGCACGAAGCCATTGTAAAAATAAAATGCCATTG